TGTATAATATTCCAGTTTTGTGGGTATATATCTGGCTATATCTGAAATGTGGAAATAAAGATAATTTTTTTCCTATATTTGTTTATACTATTCTACATTCTCTAGTTGGTACAATTAATTCCAACTATTTTTATTGTTAGAGAAACAGATTCAGTTTTAGAAGAAAAAACACACTTCCCAAAATTGACAAGAGGAGGAATGATTCTCCTTGACCCTTAGGAGTTACAGCTTGAGTAAAATCAACTTATTTGCACATTCCTCCTCACCCCACTCCATCCAGTTCCCTCTATTCTTGGACGTAGCATATCTTCTGAAATGTGGGAAGGATGGTTTTTATAGCTAAATAGGACACCTAACATTTATTATCAACATAGATGCATGGGTCTTTTCTTAATGCTATTATAAATGTGTGTGTGCGTTCACTCCAACTGCATTATCCATCCCCAGGGACAAGGTATTATCCTTGATTTCCTCAGTCTGTCCAACAGTACCTTGACCAGCATTTGATAACTACCATTGATTTACTGACTGACAGATTGGCTGACCTTGCCATTGCTCTTAGGTTTTATGCTCGTAGAATGTGTTAACATCTTTCCTCATTTTGCTTTGGGTCCGAGAGGCAGTGTTTCTTCCAAATGTACTATGTGAAATCCAACAGCTGGAATACAGAAGCCATTCATTAAAAAAAAAATGAGTTAGGCTCTTTCTCAGTTTGTGTGTGTGGCAAGACCCTAATAGAATTTTTTAAATTTTCATTACTTTTATGGAAATAGCACTGGGAAGAGGATATGTTAAAACTCTTTGATTTGAGTGACCACAGTCATCCACACCAGTGTTTTTGGCATCTCTAGTAACTGGCTTCTTGGAGGGAGGGATTTTATAAAGAGGATTTTCTTTCCCTGAGTTGGCTGTGAGAGTGATAAAACATGCTTGAGGGTCATTCTGGTTTTGAATATTTCTCATGTCAGCCAACACACCCACAGGCAGGAATTACAGTCCACTCTGCCCTCTCACTCAGGTCCAGATGGACAGGGAAAACTGGGAAGCAGAGCCCAGAATGTTGGGCTTAATATTTAACTTTGTCTGGTATATTTCACTACATTCCAAATCTTTTATACTCTTACACATCAGAACCCTCCAATGTAGATTGAAGCCATATGCCATTTCTGCTGTTTCATAGAGGCATTAGAGAAGACTAGAAAGAGGATGAATTGGTTTTCACAAAGGGCAGGTGAAAGTCTCTATCACTACCTGACACACCTGAATGAATCATGTCTCTATTTGGGGAAATGAGGGAGTTCGGTGAAAAATGTCTTCTCTTCCTGGAAGAATAACATTACACTAAGGAATGCCATCAGGGGATTTACGGGTGATGAATTTAAGCAGAGCAAGCATAGGGATAAATAGCAAAAATTACCTATTTTACTCAATGAAGAAACATGACATTCTAATAAACCAACCATGGTAGATCCTGGTCATGTTTTCCTTCTGGTAGGCATGCCATGATTGCATGTGCTTAGCCACCAGGCACCCAAAGTCATGGTCAGTTTAAGGAACTCCCAGACCACAAAGCTGCACATCCAAGGTTTTTCAGACCACTCAGACTTGTTGCTGTTTTGAGCCCACGCTTGGTGAGTGAAGAAATCAGGATGTGTGTCAATTAGTGCTGGACCTGAGAACAAACTTCAGCATGAGGTATATGGCTCAGGTCCTCAGAGGATGAAGAATGGTCCAGAGAATTATGCCTAAGAACTGAACATGAGCTGAATGCCCATTGCGGTGCTCATTCTTACATTTTGTTATTTCTGGAATACTTACTGCCTTTTTTATAACGTTATTTCTCTTAATATATTTTTATTTTTAAGAACTATATTATTGTGGAATAATTTTACATTTTCTTTTCCTTGTTTAGTAAACATACATTGTATAAATTACATTAGTAAATAATAGTGGCCTAGTGCAAAAAATTTGAGCACCAGGTGGGTGTCCCTCAGCTCGGCCTGCACCCTTTCCAATCTGGAACTCCTTGGGGATGTCCAACTGCAATCCGGGACTACTGGCTCCTCACCGCTCACCTGCCTGTCTGCCTAATGACTCCTAACCACTCTGCCTGCTGGCCTGCTCACCCCCCAACTAGCCTGATCACCTTCAACTGCCCCTCACTGCTGGCCTGCTTGCCCCCAACTGCCCCCCCTGCCTGCTCACCCCAACTGCCCTCCCTGCTGGCCTGATAGTCCCCAACTGTCCCATACTGCCAGCCTGCTCACCCCCAAATGTCTCTCTCTCCTCCCCTCCCCACCACTGGCCTGATCACCCCCAACTCTTCTCCTCTCCTGGCCTGATCGTCCCTAACTGCCTCTTCCTCTGCCCTGCCACCATGGCTTTGTCTGGAAAGACATCCGGAAGGTCTCCCAGTCTAATTAGCATATTACCCTTCTAGTAGTATAGATATATAAATATCAATCATATAATTATAATATTAGGTTGTTATGTAATATTTAAATATTCATTTAATTTTTATAATCATTCAGTGAGGTGTAGCTATGTTTATCTCCATTTTACAAATTGGAAAACTAAAACACTGAGAGGTTAATTCACCAAGACTACACAATTAGTAAGTAGTTGGGCTAGGTTTTGAACCCAGGAAATCTGGCTCCAGAGTACTTGCTTTTCATCACTATTAAAATTCAGAAAAACATTAAAAAAATACATCTATACATATGCCGCCTTGAAGTCTATTCTATACATAGACTTCCACATCATGAAGCCTAGTCTTTCTATTCGACTTCGTATCTTGGCTTTTTTCCAGGTGAACCTTATAATAGTATTTTCACATTATTAAAATTTCCTTATAGCTATTCTTTTAATGGCCACTTAATATTCCCATCATGTAGAGGTACCACTATTTGCTTAACCATTCTCTATGGTTACCCTTTTTGACTCTTCAGTTTTCTATAATGACAATTAGCACCGTGATGACCATCTGTGCAGAATTTCTTTTCTCCTTTGTACTATACTTTAGGATACATTCTCAGAAGTAAAATTGTCACGTACAAGAGTTTGAACACTTTTCGGGTTCTAGATACAGGTTGTCAAAATTTTTTCCAAGAGGTTTATACTCTTTTGCCATGCCTGCAACACTATACAGACTTCTTCACCAGTCTCACTCCGGCACTGAGAATATTAGGAATCTTTACTAATGTGTTAGGTGGAATATAGTATTTTATCATTGCCTTGATTTTTATTTCTTTGATGGCTAGAGGACTGACAGTTTGTCCATGTCGGTTGATCAATTATATGGGTATTTGAGAGGTCTGTTCAGGTGGTTTGCCCATCTGTCTGTTGAAAGCAAACAGAAGCCTTTGAGTATTAAAAAGAGAAGAGCCAATAATTTTTCATTCTTTCTCCTCCTCCTAGTCTAAACTGCTACCATATATTTAATGTTACCCCCAAACCTAATGTGTAATTTTTCTTGATTCTATATAAAGTAAACAACTATCTGCTTATAAAGGATATTATTATTTTGTTTTCTACTATGAGTGTACCCTGTGCATAAAACTGCCCTACCCATGTGTCTCGATTAATAAGCCTCTAGGGTGTCAGCCTATGTCTTATGAGCAGTTCAGCTCATATTCTTTGGTAATGCTCCTAGTAACCATAGAACAGGCCTTCCTGTAGTATGAACGATCAGAAATGAGAAGAGTTGTAAGCACAGAGGCTGGTATGTCAGTGTGCCCTAGTTGTATTGAAAGAGAGCCAGAAAGAACCCAAATAGCACCTCCCCTACTTGTTGATTGGAGCTCAGTTTTCTTTAACCAAACGTAAAGTCTTTCAGTCCTAAGAAGAGGCAGTTCTAATAAAGGAAGGCACAAAAAGCTAGGGCCCAATGTTCATGGATTAGGGTTAGGGTTAGTTCTGGGTACTCTATCATTTAATGTTCGTGGTAGGGACTCTGAGGCACTTCCTTTACTAATCCCTCACTTTTTCCACCAAAAACAGAGTAATGGTATTAATAATAACTTACATTTATAATGCACTACTAAATGTTGTAGATGGGCTTCCTCATCTAATGACTGGCCTAATTTTCACAAGCATACACAGTGCATAGACAGTGACATTCACATTTTATTTTTGAGGAGACAATGATATGGAATTTATAACAGAGCTACAACTCTCCCTTCAGTAAAGTATCAAATGATGATTTCATTACTTATTTTTTAAAGCATACTGTACTCAAAGAAAGTAATCCATTATCCTAAATTTATAGGAGGCAAAGAGGAAAAAAGAAAAGGAAGGTGTGGAAGATTGTAGAAAAGGACCACATAGGATCCCAAGGAAAACTCTATTAAGTGACCTAAAAAATTGAGAGAAGTGAAACATGATTAGCAAAATGTTGGTGATTATTTTAAAATATTAAGAAATCTTTCCATGTATTTCTTCATTATGCTATTTGTTCACTTTCAGTTTTCCCATTTGTTGCAAAGATCAACAACAATAATAGTTAAGTAAATTGTAGTAATCTAACTGTGGGATGCCATATAACTATTTAAAATAATGAGGAAGATATAAACATGTATGAAGTTTATGCATTCACATGGAACAAGTGAATGACTACATCTCGGTTGCCTTTAAAAAAACAAATATTCTTCAAATTTTTACTAAGTGTGAAAATCAGAATATAGGAGAAAGGAAGGGTAGGAAGATGCTCTCAAAATCTAGCCTGGGAAGGAATGTCTCTTGAAGGTCAGACCTTCAGGTTCCAGGACTCTTTGGATAGTCTAGGGAAAGTAAGATGCCTACTAACTTCAGGTACCAGAGCAGCAATAAAAAGTTCATAAGCCAACAGACTTTGAAATGCTTGCTTAGGAAGTTTTACAGGTGAGCTTAAAAGTTAAAGGCATTTTGTCACATGAATCTAGGCTGAGTGAGGGTCTAGCTGGGTTGGAATGATCTTTGGAAGTTGTGCCTTACAGTAGCTCAATGCTGTGCTTGCATTTCAGGATTTTACGGGCAGCTGCAGACATTCTGCCCCCCACACTACCCTGACTCCCAGAGGACCATGCCACCCAGCAGCTCCTGCAGTGTGGTGCCTTCCTTTGAGGACTACTTGGTCCCCACGTCCATGGGCCAGGCTGGTTTTGATGTTTTCCACAGAGCCTTCTCAACTCACTCGGGCATTACAGGTGTGTTGGAGTCTGACTTTGGAACTTGGGCAGACTGGCAGGAGAGACCAGTTGAGTTGCCTGTGAGTGGCTGGGCTAGACTTGACCCTGCACATGACTGCATCAAATCCTGTTGAAACCACCTTTGAAATGTCTCTTTTCACCCTCCTCTTCAGCCCCACTTCCACCACCCTAATCCAGGTAGCATTGTGTCTCCCCAAGACAACACAGACAGCCTTCCAATGAATCTCCCTACAGCAACTCCTGCCTTTACTATTCTGCTTTAATGCTTCCAAAAATGAAGGATAAAATAAGTATTTTTTTCTGCTCAAATACCTTTGTTCCCAGTTGCCTAGAGAATAAAGTCCACTTTTTTAAAAAAAATTATCTTTATTGTTGAAAGTATTTCACATGTCCCTCTTTCTTTTCCCATTGAGCTCCTCTACCCAACCCCTGACCCCCTCCCAGGCCTTCACCACACTATTGTCTATGTCCATAGGTTATGCATATATCCATACATGTTCTTTGGTTAATTTCACCCTACCTCAACCTCCCCACTCCCTGCCTTCCCTCTGAAATTTATCAGCCTGTTCCATGCTTCTCTGTCTCTGGGTCTATTTTGTTCATCAGTTTATTTTGTTCATTAGATTCCTCATATGAGTGAGATCTCACAGCATGCCATTCAAAGTGCCTATGAATTAGGCCTGATTAGACTTTCCAGAATTCCCTCACATATGTCTCCTGACATGTTCTCACCTCAGTTTTGCCATCACACTTGGCCCCACATGCTTCTCTCTCTCTCTCTCTCTCTCTCTCTCTCTCTCTCTCTCTCTCTCTCTCTCTCTCTCTCTCTCTCTCCTCCCTAATTCCTCCTTCTGGAATGCTTTGTGTGTTTTTTTTAACTTTCCCTCCTGTAAGAATCCCATCCTTGACTCAACTTTAATATTACCTTTTTTTTGTGTGACCACTCTCACCCTTCCACAGAACACTTCACTTTTACTAATACTCAGCTCATACTTTGTGCCAAGACTTATACTGGCCATCTGTCTGCACCCCAGACTTCTCTTCCACCTATGTGCCTGAGGACTGAGATCTGCTAATGGGGCTAAGTCAACATGATCGCTCACTGGACCCCAGTGGGCATGGCAAGGTGAGGCAGGTGTTGACTCCTGTGTTTGCTCTCTTCCAGTGTACGATTTGCCTTCCGGTTCCTCAAGCCTCTTCGGAGAATCTCTTCGCAGTGGGCCTGAAGACACCGCGTTCTTGCAGATCAGCGCTGTGGACCGCTGTCCTAGCCAGCTTTCCTCTGTCTACACTGAAGGATAACAGTTCCGCCGGCCTCCACTACCACTGGCATCCAGAACCTTTTGTTGCTTGCCGCCTGTTGTGTTCAGAACCTCAGAAACTGCCTGAAGAGGGTGGCGACTGAGTCAGTGGTGTCTGTGAAGTCACAGATGTGTCCTGGAAGGCAGGACTGATGGTCAGAGCTGGGCTTTACGGGAATGTTTTTGTTTGTTCCTTGTTCTCTCTGGGTTTGCTGGTGACCAGCAGGACTGTCATTTCAAAGGGAATTTAGACTCTTTCTCTCTCCCAGATACCTGTTTCTTCCTGGCTGTCAACCCTCAGAGGACACGAATGAAGTGATGTGCATGTGAAAATGTAGTGTGGGGACTGTCCTCTCTGAAAACCCTAAATAGAGAAGGACGATGCAAATTGCCAGAGACACAGTATGCTCCTCCTCACTGCTGGCCAATGCGCAGCCAGGCATCCAGGAACCCCGAATCTGCAGCATAGGGTTCAGCATCAGGGTTCAGCATCAGCCGGCATTCCGGTGAGCTGGCTGCCTCTCTTTCTCTCTTCTATATTCCCATGCTAGCCAATCGCTTTTCAGTGTTTCTCCAAAAGCAAAGAGAGGAGGTTCTGTTAAGTACAGGCCCTTGAAAGGCACTACAACTTGTTTTATATTCCCCAAACCTCTCTTAGTTCCTTCATTTTAAAGACTTGTAATCTACTTCTACTTTAAAAGGAAAAATATTTAGAAGTCTATTCTTTGGATGCAAACTATTTTAATCACCCCTGCTACATACATTTTGCCACAGCCTTGTGGTTCTGCCTGGCCACACCTCGCAGCACCTGTGAGCACTCCTGGAATGCTAGTGTTGTATATAGCAAAGGCTACCTGAGGGAAACGGGGTGAGCACACCCTCTTCCCAGTGCTGTAGCAGGAACCCTAGCAGGTTAGCTGTTCAGCAACTCCACCTCAAAGACCTTGTTCAAAATAAAAGGTCACACGACTGGTTCACCCATTGCTTCTGCTCTGGTGCTCTGGCCAGGGACATGCTAGAAGATGTGAGCACAGGGACTCACTGAGTTATGTTCCTAGGTTTTCTCAGAAAACCAAACTAGAGATGCCCTCTGTCGTTATTTTGCACAGCCTTTGCTCACCTCCCTCGGGATATCTTCCATCTGTCTGTCTCTCCCCCGTGCTTATCTCTCTCTATTTGCATTGTTCTCTCCCTCTCCGTGAATGTGGTTCACCTATCACCATCATTATCTGACCATCAGCTGTTAGCAAGATCCTGTCCCAGGAGGGTAGAGGAGACAGTTCTGGAAAGGTGGGCAGAAGAAGGCAACCTTTTTTTTTCTGAAATTCTGCTTTGAGGGCACTGGGCCATTTGATGTCAAGCCTGAAGAGGAAGCCATTTCCTGCGGCACCTTTACAAAGCTTTGCAAAGATCCTGAGTCTCATGGCCCGGGCTATAATAATGAGCCCAATTTCAGACACCCAGTAACTTTGGACATTCCAGTATTGCCGCATTTCATGCTTTTTTCTCTTTTTAAAAATGTTTTCAGAACAACAAAGAAACAACGCTGTTTGTCAAACAGAAATAATTACAATCTTCAGTGAGATAAGTACAGTGTGGTGTCAGACTTGAGACCCAGGGACAGGTGTATCCTGACAAGTGGGTCCTCCCAGTCCAGCTGAGCAGTCAAATAGTATTCGGCCTGCTGTAGGGTTTCATTCAAACACGTGGTAGGATGAGGTGAATAAAGCACCAAGCATGAGTCTGTTTTCACAATGCACCTGGTCAGGCTAGTTCTCTGACCAATGAGCTCTTATCTGGGAAAAGCCACCGTGCAGACGCCCAAGTCTGCAAACGGGTTATTCACTTGACAAACACCTGCTCTACTTTAGGAGAGGATGCCTGCCAGGCTCCTTTTCCAGATGAGCCTCAGACTGCAGGGAAAGTATTCTCCTCCTTGCAGATGTGGTGGGGTGTGTCCCTTTGCCGAAGCAAGGACACACGTATCCTAACACTGGCATCCCTCCTGGTCCTTTGTCTCACTCTGGGAAGAAAGGAAAGCTTCTGAGACAGTCTGTTCTAATTACTGAAGCCTTTATGAGGAACTCAAAATACATGTTATTTTTGTGATGAGGAGGAAAAAAATTGAAAGGCAAGGTGGTTATTGCAGCTGATGCTTTACATAAGTTAAAGGTGAAAGAGGGAAGGAGGACGAAGCCAGAAGCTGAGCCTCAGAAACCATGGATGCCATGTCCTCTGGCTGGAGGGGGGATGCTCCCGTGCCAGTCTGTCTCACCCTGGCTTCAGGCTGGTCCTGCTCCTCTCACACTTCACTGTGGCTGGAGGGAGCCAGGGTGAGCCAGGCCTCAGGAGCACCTGTAGGCCCTCCTTCCTCAGTAAAAATTGGGCCGGCCCCTTAGGAGGCACTCCTGTTAGCAGAGGGCATGCAGGAAGCAGGGCCTAGGGCTGCCTGCAATGCTGAGAGCCCTTCGGGGACCCTCTGTGTTTCCTGATGGTGCAGGTCTGAGCTTATGGCCTCAGGACAGGACACTCAGGTTCTGGCTAGACTCTGCATTCTGTCCTTAGGTCCCAGAATCACGCCTGACCTTACAATGTGTTTCTTGCTTGCTTTCGCATTGCGCAGGATTTACATGTGTTTTCATTATAATGTTCATAGCAGTAAAAATGGAATGTTCAAAAATTTATTACCTTCCACTTTTTGGCCCTTTAGTCTTGACATGTAACCATTTTCATTAACATCCAAACAGAGATTGTCATTACTCTTTCTTTTTTTTTTTTTTTTTTTAAGTAAAAACCAGTGCCTAGGAAAATACACACAGCCCAAAGCTAATTACCCTATTACATAAAAAGAAGAAATCAGTATGCCTAGAGACATTTCATTTGCTGCATTGTCTTCATTCCCTAAAGGGACTGCATCAAAGTGTCAGTTGTAATTCAGCCTGGGATCAGCTGTTAAGTATTATTTAAATATTTACTATCTGTCCTTTTCCCATGTTTCCCCCAATTACATAGGCTATTTTAAAATAGACGGTAGGTCTTCAGTGGCTCACAGCAGCGTCCACTGGTGAAACTGAGTGTTGGTTTGTTCTTGAGTTTTTACATTTCCAGATATTAAGCACGTTCACGCACCAGAATGGAGGTAAATGTTCATTGCCCCACCCAGGAACCTCGACTGTTCAGTTGCCTTGAAGTATTGGGAATAGTGTTTGTAAACGATTTAATTATTTGGTATTTTATTGGACTGTTTGTCATTTTATAGCAGCATTTTTTTTTAATGGCACTTTTTGTTGGTGGTGTGGAATTTCTGCAGTTCCTTTTTTTTTTTTTTTTTTTTTTTTGCAATGGATAAAGCAAAAGAGTCACACCACTCATTGGAGAAATAGTGAGTGTAAAAAAGAAGAGATTTATTTTGTACAGACAGCAGAGCATCCTGTGTAATGTTGCTGACATACAGCACTTTGGGGGGGAAAAGTAGAAATCTGTTTTCCATAAATCACACAGACTCTTGTATATAGTTATATACACTCACATAGAGAAATGAACTGCATATATCATACTGGATATGGGGCCGATCTTACTCTAAGGGCACATCTGGTGCTTATTGTCATAAATCTTTTAAAGAATTAGGTACACTTTTTTTTTCTATTAATATGTATAGTTTTGTGATTTGTCACAGTTATGTTTCATATAATCATAAGTTATTTTGTCTTGTTTCATGAAGTCCTTTTTTATGTCAAAAGTAAAATGAAGGTTTTGTGCACTTAGTACCAAATAAAACTGGAAATGGAGGCTATGCCCACCGCTTGAAACCCTCCCTCAGCATGTCATTCCAAAACACAATGGTAACAACTGCTTTTTGTTTGTTTGTTTTATTATTTTGTTTTGTTTTACCATCAGCCTCCTTTATATTGAGATGGTAATTATAATTAAAAGCAGCTGGTGGGAGAGGGCGTGTCCAAGGCCAGCTTTAAAATGCTGCATTGCTCTGGGCCAGAGCTGCAGCCTGGATTTAATTATAGATATGAGGATGGAATGGCAGTAAAAATGAATGTGTCCCTGAATCCTTTACATGTTGGGAGTGTCCATAAATAAAACATGAAGTTTTATTTCATCAGATTTAATTAAAGCTTTTATACATGTTTTATTGGTTATTCTATTAATCCACTTCACAAACTGGATAAATGTGTGCCAGGGTTTGAGGTTTATTTGTGTCTTCTCAGTGTAGTGCTACATCATGCTTCAGAAATGCCTCGAGTGCTTGGACCTCCAGGTGATGGGGTTTCAGCGTGGGGTGGGCGTTTCCTGTCCAGTTTTGCTAAAGCCCTGTAGACAAAGACTCAAGCATCAGCTTCAAACTGACCTTTGAAATCCCCTGGTTTTTCTGAAGGAGAAAGGGGCAATGACCATTTCCCTGATATCTCAGCCTGTTCATTTTGCAGGCTTTGGAAGGCCACCTGACCCACCTGCTGTGATGACCTCAGTTCCCATCCCTGGGATGGAGGGGCGGGGGGGGGAGAGGGGAAGAGGAAGTGGTCAGGATATTTTCATATCTGGCTAGCCTATAGCCAGCTAGCCAAGCACAAAAATCTAAAAGATAATCACATTATCTCAAGGATCGTGCTTATTAGAACCTTGACTGTTTTTTTTTCGCTGCCGGTTTAAGACCAGAGAACTACATTACAGGAAGATACAAACCAGAAGGGGTGATGGCCTCAGGCACTATGGCTCTTCTGCTGGGGGACAGGTGTGGTTCAAGGTTTAGAGATGGAACTAGTGCTGACTGAGAAGACACAAAGAGCTTCTCTGCTCCCTAAAAGGAGGCAGCCGGTGAGAAGTCAGCCCAACCTCGTTAGAGAATAGTTTGCTCTAACTGGTAGAGTTGAAGATACACATCCATAGCCCTCAATTCAACAGTGCTGGACATTTGCAGAAGTCAATGATGGTTCAGATAAAGGAGTTCATTACAGTGCTATTCACAACAGCCCCAAACTGGAAATGACCCACTGCCCAGCAACAGTAACGTGAATAGAGGAACTGTGCTAAAGTAGTACAGTCGGATACCATGCAGCAAGGATAATGGCAACAGAACTAGAGCCACACGCAGTAACTCGGGGCCGAGCCTCAGACCACTGAAAGGAAGCAGCAAGACACAAAGCAAATATCGTCTTATTCTATCAATATACAGTCCAAAAACAAGCGAGATTCAATTACGGGAGTCCCCCGCATCCTAGGCTTCACTCCCCGAAATTTCAACTGAGGTACAAACACATCAAAGGGAAAATTCCAGAAATCATGTGTTTTCCATCCACGGGGGTGTGGAGGAGGGGAGGGGTGCGGTTCAAATCGCACGCTGTTCTGAGCGGCGTGAGGAAATCTCGCGATGCCTCGCTCTGCCGGGATTTACCCTTTAGCCCAGCGTCTCCACGCCACTCACGCTCCCTCACGCCCCACGCCCCACGCCCCACGCCCCACGCCCCACGCCCCACGCCCCACGCCCCACGCCCCACGCCTCACGCCTCACGCCTCACGCCTCACGCAGCGTGGGAGGCTCCGTCTTGTTTACCAGGCTGCCCAGGTGTCGTGGCGTTTGCGCGCAGGTCGCCCTCAGTTTGCTGAGCCGTGGCTCCCCAGCCCGTGGGCGTGATGCAGGCAGAGAAGCACGCGGCGCTGGGTAGATGTGGTCAGGTGCGCAGGCGCGGCCTATCGCTTCGCCACAGCGCCTTGGCCTTCGACTCACTGGTATCATTGCTCACCCTGAGAAGGTGAGTCTGAGCCTGTCACAGAACTCTTACTGCAGTATTTCGTTCTGATTGTTCTCTTTTGTTAGTAGCAGTGAATTTCTTACTGTGCTTAATTGAGAGATGGAACGATATCATCGGTACGGATGTGTAGGGAAGAAACAGCGTAAGTGGCATGATCCGTGGCTTTTGGCGTGCCCTGCGGGTCTGGAACCCGTTTCCTGTGGGTAAAGCCGCGCCGCTGGATGGAGTTGAGGTGGTCAAGTATAAAGAACAGCAAGGAAGGTATTATCAAAAGGCCCGGGGCCTGATGGCCTCTGTTCAGGAAGAAAGGACACGTGGAGGACTCGCAGGTGATGGCCAACAATCATTTATTTCTTGACACACACACGCACACACCGTAAGTTATACTGGTGTTTGCTTTGTAATTATTTAACTATCTCCATGTACGTGTGTTATACTTGTTTTTGTGCAAATATTGGTGACGAATAAATCATACATCCCCTACTTTCCAAGGGCCTACAAACTTCCTGCAGAGGGCCAGGTAGGACAGGGGTCTCAGCTGCAAACCCTGCCATTGTGGCTCCCAACGGAAACACACAAAAACCTTCCGTCACCTTCTGCCCAAACTTTACTTATGGACACAAATGTGAATTTCCCATAACTTTCAGATTTCATAAAGTGTTTTTCTTATTTTGATATTCTTCTATTTAAAAACACACAGCAGCCCTGATCAGTTTGGCTCAGTGGATAGAGCGTCGGTCTGCAGACTGAAGGGTTCCGGGTTCGGTTCTGGTCAAGGGCATCTACCCCAGAGGGCGGTGTGCAGGAGGCAGCTGATCTATGTTTCTCCCTCATTGATGTTTCTAGCTCTCGGTCCCTCTCCCTTCCTCTCTGTAAAAAAATCAATAATATATATATATATTTAAAAAAAATAAAAAATTAATAAAACAAAACAAAAAAATATATATTTTAAAAAAATAAAAAATTAATAAAACAAAACAAAACACAGCAACCTTAATTCACATCCTGGGCAGGAATTTCAAAGGGTGGGATTTATCCCATAGGTCGCAGTGGGCTGAGCCTAATCAACTGAAGGAGCAACCCCTGATCATTCCCATAAACATCCCCCCAAGAAAATGCAGTCAGGAGCCCCTCTGACCATTCTGCTACATTGGGCCCTGTTCCTGGAGGGAATTCATGAGTTCCGTTGATTAAGCTTTTCTTTGTTTAGATGCTGGGTTCTGCTTCCCGGGATACAGATGAATGCTTAGAGCCTCAAGTGCCATTTGATTGTATCTCTGGATTTGAGGTTTTTAATAAAAAAAAGCTGGGCTCAGAGAAAATCTGTGAGAATTGGAAAATGAGCACCCATTCTTTCCAAGCTAACCAAATATTTGCTAGATCTTGGCAGCCATAGCCAACCTTTGCCTCTGAAATGCTGAGGAGTTATAAGTAATGAGAGATTACATTTTTCTCAGGCCATAGCTCTTGTGAAAAGCCAGAGCTTCCCCTCAAAACCTGCAGTGTTCTCAGGACACAGAGATTTGGGGTTTTATGTTCAAAGATGCCACTGAGAAATGGTTGGAACAGAGTTGAGGGGCTTGGACCGAATTTGTACCCCTCCACCCAGCAGGAGAGCTGCTTCACACCCAGGCATCCTCTCTGGACCCTGGTTTCCCATAATGCCTAGCTCCCAATTCCCTAACTTGGGGGTTTGTCAGCCTTGACAGTGCTGCCTCTCAGCTACTCAGAGAATGAGACTGAATTCACATGGGGCACAAGTGTATGCCTCTCTTTGTATGTCTGGCTTGTGATAACATTGACAGTTTCAAAATATGGTTATTCACAAGCCCTGAGAGATTCGCTAAATCGTAGCATGGACTAAATCCTCTTCTGTGGTCTCCCTGGAGGTTTCATGTGCTTCGGTTTGTGTATTGTGTATGGTTCTGAGCTTAAGGTGGCTGGGAACACAGCAGCTTGGGTCAAATAACCTGAACTTTATAAAGAGCAGTTTCACCAACAGAAAGCTTAGAGAATATCCAACCTCATCATTTTACAGAGGAGGAAACTGGCATAGTTTCAATCATTCATTTGTTCATAAATTTAATCCTTTAACATTTATTATGTAAAATAGGTAGAAATCATTCTTATCCTCACAGAGCCAACAACTGAGGGATTTCGAATATCAAGAGCCTGAGGATACTGTCTCGGGTATTTCTTAAAAATGCACATTCTAGAGCTATTGAATGTACACCTAAGAGCAACTAAGCTGGAATTTTTAAGAGTAAGACAGAGGCATCTGGATTTTTATTTTTTTAAAATATATGTTTTTATTGATTTTTTTACAGAGGAAGAGAGAGGGATAGAGAGTTAGAAAAATCAATGAGAGAGAAATATCGATCAGCTGCCTCTTGCACACCCCCTACTGAGGATGTGCCAGCAACCAAGGTACATGCCCTTAACCGGAATCAAACCTGGAACCTTTCAGTCTGCAGGCCGACGCTCTGCCACTGAGCCAAACCTGTTTCGGCAGCATCTGCATCTTTAATAAGCTCTCCAGATGGTTGTTTATACAAACTAAACTTGACACCACCACCACCACCCCATATAGTGGAGGAGGCCAATCATTTAATAGGATAATACAGTATAATAAAAGCTAAGCCTAAGGGAAAGAGATATTTCCACTCACTCCCTGCCTGGTAAGAGAAG